TTTGGATGGGATAAATGCAGAGCACTAATTCCGAGTATGGGTCACCATACTTGGCCACATGTCACTTCACTTCATAACATTAACAATTTTTTTTTATATAATAATTTTGCTTTTATATATATATATATATATATAGTTTAGCAATGCAGCTTATATAATCATATTCTATTCAATATATGTGCATGTAAATTCTTTTTCATTTTATTTGATTGCCTAAAAATGTTTTTAATATGTTTTATTAGTTACCACTACATACTCTCAGATTCAGATTTATCCAGCCTTATAGATGGCCAAATCGGTGTGGTCAGTTTATCCTGATGTCTGAATATGATCATCACCTGCTGCTGAAATATGTACATACGTAATGCTCCTCAGACCTCTGAGTGTGAACATTGCTGGCAGCAGGCTGGACAACATGTGATATTGGATGAGGCAGATAGCAGGATGGTTAAGAAAACTGGCAGGTTGTAGGAAGAAGCAGCTGGCATGGTGGTTGAGTTAGATGGCAGCATGATGGAAGTAGCAGCTGGCAGGACAAAGGGAGCAGCTGAATTGTGGTTAGGACTCAATCTGCAGCGGTTCTGAGGTCTTCAAGGAAACCCCATGGTAGGCCAGAGCATCACTGAGGTCCTCCTCAAATCCCTCACCCTCCTAATCTTCTACATTAACCTCCTACAGCAGCTGGTCTGTCTTTTCTGCATCTCGGTTTATCATTTGAAATGCATGAGGTTGTCAATTCTGACAGATTTCTGAAAAAAATTAAATAATAAACTAAAATAGTCCTGGTTCAGCTTTGATTAGGTGTTGTAAGACAAACAAGGAGATTCGCCAAATGGATTCTACATATTATCACACATGAAGATTGAATATCTGCAAAGAACATATTTTGATTTTATTGTTTTGTTAGGAACTTGTTCAAACATGTCACAGGGTAAGATAATAATTAGTTTTGAGAGTGCTTGGAAATAGGAATTTGCAATTCAGTAAAATGGCAGTTTTAGTATATTGTATGGCAGAACTTAGTAACCAGCCCAAGACCTGCTAAAGGGTCTGTGAAGAAACTTGTGCTAGGTTGTAACAACTGCTTAATCAAACAATATTTATTAATCTGAGCAGGTTAATAAAGAGAAAAGAAACAATAGGTTATGTTTTGATTGCAATGTTTATTTATTTCCATTTTCTATAGTGGCACAATACAATGCACAATTTAATGTCAACTGACTAGTTTTTAAATATTTTTTTTGTGAGGATCAATTTATTTTAGTATTTATTATTTTGTCATTTTATTTTGTCATTTTAAAATTACAACAGAGCTGTAACGATATCGATTGTCAGAAACAATAACACACTACTGAGTGCTTAGGGAGCTAATAGTTTATAACGCACTAGTGAGTGCTTAGGGGGCTAATAGTTTATAACGCACTAGTGAGTGCTTAGGGAGCTAATAGTTTAAAGGAACAATTATTTTGAAGCGACAGAGAGCAGCGACCGTTTTTCCGTGTAACAACACCGGAAGTGGAAGGAATGTCATTCTACTGCGAACACGGGAGGTGCAATGATGTGACCGGGCTAAATGAATGAGCTGTAGTTGTGTTGTATGATAATTGTAAATTATAAAGATGACAGCACTGACGTGTAGGTTTATTAAACTTGCTGATGGTTTGCTAAGAGGAGCGCAAGTAACCGTTTGCCGAGTTGGAGCAGCGCTGCAGAGGTATTTGTTGTTATAAACAATATCATGATCATAAAATAATGTAATCTTTAACTCGGTATCATGTAAATATCACATATACCATATATACTCGCTTCATAATTTTATAGCAATAAATTTGAGTTAGAATTTTTGTATAAATACAGCAAATCGTATTATTTAGGCGTATTCTACAGTAGCATCACGTTTAACAACTTTATATAGTGTCACTGTCAGTAATATCACATTATCAACTTTTTAACGTGATATTTATGTAAAAAGCATGGCAGTTCCCATAATGCCCCTGTTTTCTGTCTTCAACAGAGCCCCTGTCATTCAGTGTATAAGAACGCATCGGACAAACACATGGTGGGATGAGCACCTCACAGAAGATAATGCTTCCTTTCTAAAGAAGGTTGTTACAGAGGAATACAAACAACAGACCACAGACAAACTCAACCCTCTCAAGGATGAGCCCTGGCCCAGACATGAGTGGGCAGAAGGTGGGTCACACTATCAGAACCCTGCAGTCTGTGGGTGTCATTTCTGCTCCAGTCCGAGGAGGCAGCGTGCTTGTGCTCATGATTGTGTTTTTTACATGGATTACTATTTCAGTTTTTATGGTTGTATTGTTTTGTAATCTGCATCTCCTCAGGGAGTCGGAGAGTCGGTCTTGTGGCCGTTAAACTTGGAATGATGCCTGTGTGGAGCAAATCTGGAGAGAGACACGTAGTGACTATGCTGCAGGTAAAGTTTCACTTTATTACAGAGGAGGAGATGACAGCAATTTTATATATATTTTTTTGAGGACAATATTTAAAAAAAATCTCTTTATTTATTAAAATTTTTTTTTAATTACACATAGAGTCAGACACAATTCCAGTTTCGGCAAAACATTCATTTTGGGGCATCACAAATATTAAACTGCACTTTAAAACATTAATAAAAAAAACAATTAGAAAATTTTTATTAACAACCTGTCAAAGTGATTTATATATTTACATTTTAATTAATAAATTGATTGAGCCACTTCATATGCCACATAATATTAATAATAATTTATTTCAGAACAATATTGTGATTCTTTAACTGATATTGTCCAGTGAAAGTGAAGTGAAGTGAAAGTGACATGTGGCCAAGTATGGTGACCCATACTTGGAATTAGTGCTCTGCATTTATCCCATCCAAAGTGCACACACACAGCAGTGAACACACACACACACCGTGAACACACACCCGGAGCAGTGGGCAGCCATTTATGCTGCGGCGCCCGGGGAGCAGTTGGGGGTTCGGTGCCTTGCTCAAGGGCACCCCAGTCGTGGTATTGAAGGTGGGAGAGAGCGCACGTACATTCACTGCCCCCACCTACAATCCCTGCCGGTACGAGACTCGAACCCGCAACCTTTGGGCACATGGGATCTCATCAATGTCTTAATCGGTTTTTCCTTGAGAGCATTGAAATCAAACAAAGACTAGCTGAGATGGACACTCTTCTCAGACGTTTCTCCTGAGAAAAAGACATCTCACGTGTCTCCTCTAGAGTTTCAAATAAGATCTGTCTCAAACTGTGCTCAGAATAGATACTTCCATGATCTGAGCTTTTCTTACTACAGTTTTTTTTCAACTGCTTACACACATTTTCAAAACTTCACACACAAATCCAAGAATTGCACACACAAAATACAAAATGCCTCACATCTCTTGCAAAATGAAGCACTGCATTCAAAATATCACA